GTCCAACAGTGTATCTAGAAAATGTCATTTAATTGATGCTAGTTAAATGCGTTGTTGTAGTTGCTCGATTTACCGGGTATTATCGAAGGAGCGAAGGACGGCAAGGGTAGAGGTCGTCAGGTGATCGCTGTAGCGCGCACCTGCAACCTGATTCTTATTATTTTGGACGTGTTGAAGCCGCTTGTTCACAAGCGCATAATCGAACGGGAACTGGAGGGATTCGGTATTCGGCTGAACAAGAAACCTCCGAACATCTACTTTAAGAAGAAAGACAAAGGTGGTGTGAATTTAAGCACAATGGTAAGAACTGTACAACATGGTTTCCACAGCTACTTGATTCTCATTTTGACTCATTAGGTCCCTCAATCAGAACTGGATCTGGAAACAGTGAAGACGATCCTTGCAGAGTACCGCATCCACAATGCAGATTTAACTTTGAAATACGATGCCCCAACCGAAGATCTGATTGACGTCATCGAGGGAAACCGAGTGTATATACCGTGCATCTACGTACTGAACAAGATCGACCAGATTTCCATTCAGGTAGTAATAAGCGAAATTCAGGAGTTAAGCTTTGTTTAATCGTAACTTTTTTCTTCAGGAGTTGGACATCATCTATAGGATTCCCCACTGTGTTCCCATATCTGCTCATCATAAGTGGAATTTCGACGACCTTCTGGATAAAATGTGGATTTACCTCAGTTTGATACGCATGTACGTTTGCTCAGATTTAATAAATACGCTATTGAACGGAAGTTCAGCACCAGAAGCAGTAGCACTGTTCAACGAACCTGTAAATGTGGCTTATGATTGGCGTTAATAATAAACGGACTGTTTTCTCCCTATCCCATGTTACTTTGGTAGTTATCCGCAGATTGGGTATTTCATTTGTACATTTGTGGCCTTACTGAAATTCAACATAAAACATGGTTTATTTATACTCAACGCAAAAATATGGTCGATTGGATGATTGACATGGCATCCGCTGCTAATAGCGGAAGAACTTCCGAAGTCAGTCAACCACCGTCATTACCGAAGAAGGCCTATGGGATACGAGGTGAAACATCGGTACTGGTCAATCATTGGATTGACAATGTTTTTGCATTGTGTATAAGTGAATCATGTTTTATACTATTTTTGGAAGTTATTTGAGTATATCGCGGGACGTGCCAATTTGTTTTTATTCGTTGATAAACTTTCCCAGTTGTACGTAACGATGCTGGACCGTTTTTGCTAAAGCCACTCTCGGCTGGAACAGTATCATAAACGTTAAACTATGTAATTACATATGTAAAGCAGAATACCAGTGTTGCGCATTGATATTCTTAATATAATTTTTGTAGTTATACAAAGCCGAAGGGCCAACTTCCTGACTACAACGCTCCAATCGTTCTACCGTATGAAAAAAGAACTGTAGAAGACCTCTGCATTAAGATCCATAAAAGTCTCGCTAAGGAGTTCAAATAGTAAGTTCTGCACTATATTGCGTTTTCATCTGCGAAGTTAATCTAATTTAATTATTGCAAATGTTATACACGACCTGATCAGGCGAAAGTTACAACAGACCACAACAGTTCACGAAATGTCAAATGCATGGAATCAATTAGGAACCAACTTATCTTACAGATTTTGTCAATGTACGATATTTCCTCACTTTTCTGCTTAATAGTGTTGTTATAATTAAACGAAGCCTCGATAGCATCATGTTAGCATTATCTGAAAATCACTAATCTTGAGCATATGTAATCTTTTAGCAGCCAGCCGTTTGCATCCATAAATTTCTATTTTCGTTTCAGTCTGTGGATATTTGATAAATAAATGTTAAGATAAGAAGTGTACGTGACAGAAAGAAAGCGCGTGAAGTACGACTTAGCCAAATGTCTTTCAGTTGAGGATTAGACTTCTTTCAAGGCATTGCGCATTCTAAGAGTCAGTTACCCTAAGTTCATTTTTTAAAGTGCCGGTTGTACTTTTAAACTAGTAAGTGTTTTCCAGATGATGTCTGCAGTTAAGGAACTGGCTTTATATTTAAGTTTATGAAAATGTATTAAATTATTGTTTTACTTTGGAATCTAACAGTTTCTTTTCCGCCCGCGTAGGCAGCTCACTGTTGAGTAACGACGTTTTAATACGGTAAAGCTGATTAATGCTGAAATGAATGGGTATGTTTCGTATAGTCAGGCAGTAAATACATTCATACCGGCTGATTCATCATCTAGCGAATTCGTGCGGTCCAACTGATGGCCGAGGCATATGTAGCTAGCAACTTCACCAAAACTTAAATTCTTCATCATTCATGTACAGATTCCCCTGTGGCAATGCAAATTTCGCATCCATTTCTTCTTAGAGAGGTTACTCTGCAATCTGATGGTGCGGGATTCTTGCAACTGCTAAATTTACCATTGCAGTTCCACCGTGTCTTGAGCAAAGATGATGCAATCGTCAGCAAATGGTAATTGCATTAGCTGCTTTTCGTCAATATCGATACCACTACAGCACCCTAACTTTTGTAACTGTAACAAAAGTGCCACGATGAAGAGATTTGGTAATATCTCATTGATGCATTCCTCGATTTTAATAATAATTCGAAACCGTTCGTTAGTGTCCGACATGCAGATGTAGTTGAGTTCCTCGATCAGACTGATCAAAGCGGAATTTCTTTCATGTTCATGCTAGGCATTTAACAGAACCGCCAACTCAACAGATTCGAACGCCCTTTCGTCGTCAGTGAAAATCGATAACGCCTTACACCAGTGCGGATGCTTCTGCGACTTTCATCTCGTGGATATCTTGGCAAATGTCGCACTCCGTATGAATAGCCCAACTCAGAACAACGCAGTTACCTTGGCTGACGGTGCCGACGAGCATTGTGCAAAATTTCACCAAACGAGATGCTGCTACTGCCTGTGAATATAAAAGATCCTGGCAGATCCGAACCTGCCAATCCGCAAATAAATCCACCTGTCACTGCTTTTGCGACTAAAACTGTGCGAACCCATATGGGCCCATTGTTCTTCGCAGGTGGCCAGCGGAAAGGTCCACTAGATTTATTAGTGGACAGAGGCCTCGTTGAATGTCTGAACAATGAAATCTCAGGCTTCTGTTTACTCTGGCAGCAATGACCATTCTGAAGGCGACGAGGAACGAAACTCTGTACGTAAATGAGCATTCAAAAAATCATCACAGCGTAGTGAGATGCAAGCAGTGGAAGTTGTTGTGAAGCGCTCTGATTAGTTTTGACGTGATAGTGTTAGAATATCGAAAAACTAACATTTCCTTCACAATGTACCGTTCGTTCTTGAATCAGGTTATGCATAATGTAAAATTTCGGTAATTTCACCTGTACTTGTTAGGCTGATAGGTTTTAAATGTTTAACACCGCGAGGTTGTTTGGGATATTTATCATTTAGCATTGCAACGATGTATGGCTTCATCCGATTTTTGGAATATTAACTGTTAATTTAAATAATTTAGAGAAATAGAGAGCCTGTAACTTTGTAATAGATACTTCTATTAGACTTGTTTTCGTCAGCGCCTTCGCCACAGATGCAAGTCATCGTTACGCCACCCTTTTCGGTGTTGTACCCTTTGCTTCCTTCGTTGACCGAACAGCTTAGTCATTGGATCGCCTAGCATGTCGGTGGACGATCGAGTGGAAGTCTGCTGCTGAGGGGGATCCAGTTGGTTATTCAGGATATTCACCTGTTGTCTTTCAGACGAGCTACATGGTCGGTCCACGTCTCTCCCAGTTGTAGGCCGCAGTGAGTATATCAAAAAATCGTGACCAACATGAACTATTGCACTTGAAACATGGTCTCGAAGAGAGGCGTAGCATTTTCTTCCTTCCTTCGATCTTTGCATTACTGATAGTTTCTTTCCCGCAGTCTTGATGGTAGATTAGCACTCCGTCTCATAAATTATCGGGCTCAGTCGAACAGTTTTTTGTTCGTAGACATGGTCAGTTCTTTATCTAGCAACGATGTTTTGACGTGATTGCAACTTGCCCATGTTGTCTTTCATCTTCTGCTGATTTTGCCATTGATGCTGTTATTGGATTTTCTCAGGCGGTCGAGGTATACGTAGTTAGAGACTTGGGACTTTTTTTTGTCATCAATAAAGACGGTATTCTGGGGACAATGTTCGTTGCGCATCCGTTTCCTCTTGGAGGTGTTCATCCCTAGACCCGTGGTGCATGACTCTTGCAACTGCACAATCTTTATTTTGAGTTTGATTTCCGCCGAGTCTTTCAGAAAGATGATTACGTCTTCTGCAGAGCAGATGAGTGAACCATTATTCTTCAATACTAATGCCGCTGCTCCCATTGAGACAGTTATAAAGAGATTCCAGTGCCATCGTGAATATGACGCCTTGGCTTACTCCTCTTTTGATGTTGATTCAACATGGATCCTCGAACA